TGTCCTCAGCGTGACAAACCTTGTCCTCAGCGTGAGGAACCTTGTCCTCAGTGGGAGGTACCTTGTCCTCAGTGTGAGGTACCTTGTCCTCAGTGTGACGTACCTCGTCCTCAGATTGAGGAACCTTGTCCTCAGCGTGAGGAACCTTGTCCTCAGTGTGAGGTACCTTCTCCTCAGAGTGAAATACCTTGTCCTCAGGGTGAGGTAGCTTGTCCTCAGTTTGAGAAAACCAGTGCTCATTGAGAGGTACCTTGTCCTCAGCGTGAGGAACCTTGTCCTCAGCGTGAGGAACCTTGTCCTCAGTGTGAGGTACCTGGTCTTCAGTGTGTGGTACCTTTTCCTCAGCGTGAGGAACCTTGTCCTCAGTGTGAGGGGCCTTCTCCTCAGCTTGAGAAACCTTGTCCTCAGCGTGAGGAACCTTGTCCTCAGGGTGAGGTACCTTGTTCTCAGCTTCAAAAACCTTGTTGTCAGCGTGAGGAACCCTGACCTCAGCGTGAGGAACCTTGTCCTCAGTGTGAGGAACCTTGTCCTCAGCGTGTGCAACCTTGTCCTCTGCTTGAGGAGCCTTGTCCTCGGTGTGAGGTACCTTGTCCTCAGTGTGAGGTATCTTGTCCTCAGTGTGAGGTATCTTTTCCTCAGCTTGAGGAAGCTTGTCCACAGCGTGAGGAACCTTGTCCTCAGCGTGAGGTACCTTGTTCTCAGTGTGAGGTACCTTGTCCTCAGCGTGAGGAACGTTCTCCTCAACGTGAGGAACCTTGTCCTCAGCGAGAGGAACCTTGTCCTCAGTGTGAGGTGCCTTGTCCTCAGCGTGAGGAACCTTGTCCTCAGAGTGAGGAACCTTGTCCTCAGTGTGAGGTACCTTGTGGTCAGTGTGACCTACCTTGTCCTCAGCTTGAGGAACCTTGTCCTCAGTGTAAGGTACCATGTCCTCAGCTTGAGGAGCCTTGTCTTCAGCATGAGGAACCTTGTCCTCAGTGTGAGGTACCTTGTCCTCTTAGGTAGTTAGTACGAGGAAAAGGAACAGCAAGTTTGCCAACAGTGTCCCTAAGAGAATAACCCGAAACACAGCTACGATCAACAAATTTTGAACGAAGATATTCAGGAGCCAAACCATTTATCGACTTATAGACCATAATAGCCTGATGAATTTGGCGCTGTGTTTCAAGGTTTCCCCATCCAAGTTCTTGAAGAAGACCATCAGCATTAATATCATAGCCGGAAAATGTTAAAACCCTAGCCGAACGATTTTGTAATTTCTGCATTTTAGTAGCAACAGTTTTATTACAATTCCCCCACACAACACTGCAATAGTTAAAATGTGGTTGAATTAGTGAATGAAAAATAGTATGCAGAGTTGTACGAGGAACAAAAGCCCTGACGCGTTTTAGCGCACCAATGCCAGAGGCGATTTTTTTGGAAATGGCATCAACATGAACAGACCATGAGAGATGCTCATCAATGTGAAGGCCCAGAGACTTGGTTGATTTTACCTGTTTGATAGGAGCCCCTTCGATTGTAAGTACTGGAGCATTATCAAACGTATAAAGTCTCTGTCTCGAACCTATCACCATAAATTCAGTTTTGGACATGTTCAGTGTTAATTTATTAACAATAAGCCACTCACGAATACTCTCAAGATCATTAGTGAGATTAAGTTCGATTTAGCGATATCATTATCCGCATATGTCAAGTGAGTATCGTCTGCAAACATACGAGGTGTGAATGTGAGAGGCAATTCGGCAAATCATTTATATACAATA